AAACAAAATCTTAAAAAAAAAAAAAGAAAGAATAAAAAAAATAAAGAAACTAAAGAGACCTGATAACTAAGTGCACTGCATTATCTCTGATTGGATCCTGGACCTGGAAATAAAAATAATACAGGGATAATTGGGGAAATTTTAATATGGTCTGCAGATTTGATAATTGTATTCACTGTCATTTTTCCTGAGTGTGATAATTATATTGTGGTTATGTAGGCAAATGTCCTTGTTCTTAGGGGACACAGTAATTTGTGTCAAGTGTCATCATATCTCCAAGTATCTTTCAAATAATTCAGAGGAAAAGAGGGATGAAGCAGATGTGGCCAAATGTTAAAGGTTGGTGAACCTAGCTCTCTCTCAAATAAATAAATAAAATCTTTTTAAAAATTGGTGTATGGGTGTTCACTGTTCTTGCAATTTTTCTGTAGGGTGGAAAATTTTTCAAAATACAAGTGTGGGAGGAGTTTACATCAAAAATATTTCTGCAACTGAAGATTTACTAATGGAAGCCTCTTTATTTCAAACAATTGCCATATATTTAGAAAGATACAAACCAGAATCAAGCATAAGACAGAAGCCATACACACCAAAAAAAGACTGATAGATGTGACTATGTAAAAATGTAAATAAAACATCTCTACATCAAAAATGTAGAAAAAACAGTAATAAACTGGAGGAAAATACAGAACAAGAAAAAAAAAGGCTACTGTCCTTGCTATAAACACTCCCTCTTATAAATTAGTAAGAAAAAAATAAATATGCTCAAAAGAATGGGTGAATATGCTCAAAAGGTATGAAAAAGTAACACAATAAAGAAAAAAAGTGCAATACTCAATATATATCTTTAGGTGGCCAATCTCCATAGTTATCAAAGCAATTTGAATTAGGGGCACCTGGGTGGCTCAGTTAAGTGTCTGACTTCAGTTCAGGTCATGATCTCAGGTCCTGGGATCAAGCACCCGCGTTGGGCTCTGCGTTCAGCAGGGAGTCTGCTTCTCCCTCTCCCTCGGCCCCTCCCTCTCCCCCTACTCATGCTCTCTCTCTCCCAAAACCATAAATAAAAATCTTTAAAAAAATGATGATGTCGGGCGCCTGGGTGGCTCAGTTGGTTAAGCATCTGCCTTCCACTCAGGTAATGATCCTGGAGTCCCAGGATCAAGTCCCACGTCGGGCTCCCTGCTCAGCAGGGAGTCTGCTTCTCCCTCTGACCCCCCTCTCTCTCATGCTCTCTCTCTCAAATAAATAAAAAATCTAAAGAAAAAATGATGATATGGATATATTTGTACAGAAATGTGTTCATAATTTTCAATGAAGAGAAGCAAGTTAAAAACAGCATGTCAAATATGGTTCTGTTTTTGTATAAATATATTTACGTATGCATAAAAAAGGCTAGAGGGACATTCTCCAAAATTTGTCTAAGTGGTTTTTTGGAAGAAGGTTGTTATGGATACTTTTTTCCTTCTTCTGATTTCTGTATTTTCTGAAGTGTTTACAACAAAAATGTTGCTATTATAACTACAATTTTCCTTAAAAACAGATCTTTTTCAAAAGATCACAGGTTAGGGTGCCTGGGTGGGTCAGTCGGTTAAGTGGCTGCCTTTGGCTCAGGTCACCATCCCAGGGTCCTGGAATCGAGTCCCATGTCTGCAGGGAGTCTGCTTCTCCCTCTGCCCCTCCCCCCACTCATTCTCTCAATCTCTCTCTCTCAAATAAATAAATAAAATCTTTAAAAAAAAAATCACAGCTTAACATTCCCTACCATATCCCCTATCCCTGGAATAGTACCTGGCATGTGATAGGTGCATAAAAAATATTTGTTGAAGGAATGAGTAAAAGAATCTGACTCAATTCATGGATATGGTTGAAATTTATATTGTGAAGTGAAATAAACCATGGGCTTCGAGTCACAAGGCTAGGGTTTGAGTCTTGACTCCTGCTTTAGCCATGTGGCTATGATTACAATCCCTTAATCTCTTAGTTTCAGCTTCCTTATCTGAGATGGGGGACAAAACCTACATCCCTTAGGAGCTCGTTATGAGAAATGATTATTATAAATGAAATAGTTTGTAAAGTGCATAGGCCTACATGTGTATTAGGTATGATGACTGTACAGTGGAACCTGGAAGTGTGGAGAGGTATCTCACATCAAGGAGGGGTCTAAACATTGTGAGTTTCATTGGAGAAGACTTCTTAGAAGATGTGAGATGTCAAAGGAGACAACGAATGTGGAAAGTATGCCAAAAAGTAGAGATGTGACCAATGAACACCATTTGGAAGGGAAGACAAAGATACACACAAAGAAGGAGCAAGGATCCCCTGGCTCGGGGCGGGGGGGGCGGCGGGGGGGAGCTTCCACTGAGTTCTTAGTGCAGGTAAGAAAGCATGGCAGCTGTTGTCTGGTCAAGTCAGGAAGCTTCCTGGAAGAGGTGATCTGAATAATGGATGAGACCACATCTCTCTAGGGCAACCCTTCGGGGCCCTGGTTGCGCCCTGTGGATGGTGGACAGGTGTCAGTGAGAAAACGGAGGACCACAGATGTAAAACTGCTTTCTCTCTTGGGCCACAAAGCACAGATGAACTGACACTCAGATGTCCCAATGCCCACTCTAAACTCTAAACTGCGAAGTGCACCCAAATTGATTATTATTTCTATGATTATTATCAGTGCTTGTACTGATAATGCTTTGCCCAAACATTTTCAGTGCTTCACTAGTGAAATTATAATTAGTGAAAATTATAATTATAATAAATATAATAATTATAATTACTGAAAATTATAATGATAATACATATTGTAATAAATTATAACTAGTGGAATTATAATTTCACTGTATTACGGACGATATCAGTGTAATATTGTCTGCAGTGAATTCAGCATAGTGAATTTGCAAGCATGTGCCTTAAAGAGTTTTGTATAGTGAGGATGACTATAATATCGACAATGAACCCGTAACAAAGGACAAATGAGTATCTGTCAGACGACTGGTGGCCTAGCCTGTCTTTTGCACATATTCCTGGATAGAACTGAGCCATTGCCTTGGAAACTCTGACCAGTGACCTGGTAACACAAGAACTTGCCCAGCTGGCTTTCTGGAAGTCCAACAAAGCTTTCTACCTCCAGCCTTGAGTTTTCTAATTTCTGGAACCCCTCCCCCTTTGAGTCCCTCAGTGCAGATAATATCCTCTTAGTCCCCATACCTGGATGAAGTTCCCTTCATATTCGAAGAAAAGCAGTGGCCACATGATGTTGATGATGGAGGGGACGAACTTCTTCGAGGGGTCTGGGGAAAGAGAGAGAGAGAGATGAGCCAGAGCAGTATCTCCAGGAAGGCCTTGCTGTAACTGCCACCCCAGGTTCCCTCCTTAAGGCTGGACCCTCACCGGCAGGGCCTGGCCCACGGTGCTATGTGCCAGGGCCTGGATGTTGGCAGTCTTCTCTTTCACCTGCTCCACCAGCGTCTGCACCTCCATGAGGTTGTCTAGGAGAGGGGGAGGGCACCAGAGATGAAAGGCTGGCTGTCCAGCTATTCTTCCTGTTCCCCTGGGGTCCAGTCAGGACATGTGCCCCTGGCCCTCCCTCAGAGCAGGTGCCTTAAGACCCAGAAAAATGACAGTTCCCCTGAGTCACTCTGCCACCTCCATCTGCTCACCCCACCGCTTCTGTCTTCCCTCTCACCATCCAGGGTAAAAATGAAGACCACAGTGTCAATTTCCATGAGGGATGGCAAGATGGAAGTCAGGAAGTCCTTCTGGGAGAAGGAGAACTGGGGACCCTGGGCACAAGAAGATGGGAGTCCCCCCCCATGAAAAACTCCAGCACAGAGCCCCAGAGACTGCAGAGGGCCTCACAGGACCTCTCATACAGCGTGTTTGTATACAGATGAAAGAACTGAGGTTCAAGGAGGCAAAGTGTTTTGCCCAAGATGATGCAGCAAGTTGAGGGAAGAGCACTGGACCAGAGCCAGCTTTAGAGGGTGAATCCAGAGCCTTCCACCCTCCCTGTGCTGCCCCAAAGCCTCCCGACCTCTAACCCATATTCCCTTCTCTGAACTGTCTGCCCTGTTACACTCCCCCACCTGTCTCTACCTCCCCTTACCTCCCATTCTGCACACCAATCACCTTCACAACCTCCCCCATGTCCGGTCATCCTCCCACCTGGTTGATGAGCTCAGCCTTCTGGTTAAACTTATCACTGTGATCACCAATGAAAAAGCCACGGACATCTCAGAAGTCTGGAAAGTTTAAGGACAGGAAGAAAGGAGTGATGGGCTTTATAGGAAAGAAAAGTTCTAGGCTTGGGGGGATGTTAATGGGACTTGGAGGAAAGTGGCAAGTGGGGTGTAGGGTGAGGTGTCACACACATGGGAGGCCAGAGCTAAGCAGGGCTGGGAGTTAAGGGACCAAGGCCTGAATAGGGGTTCAAAGGAAGGAGCATTTGACTGAAATGCCTATTCCGATAAGACAGGATGGACATTGAATGAGGAACCCCCATGGGTTGCGGGGGAGGAAATCGGTTTGCATCAGGAGGAACCAGGAAGAAAGTCTGGACTGGGGTGCCACCAGCACCAAAGGTGTGGATGCACTCCACTCCGTCCATGATGGCAATGATGCCGAGGGTCTGCCACCCAACCAGGTACACTGGGCCTTTTTTCTCCAGGCTGAGAATGGGCCAGAGGTCAGGACACAAGAGGAGAGATCACAGTGAAAAAAGACAAGGAATCAGAGAAAGATGCACATGGCAGAGCACAGGTGTAAACCAACAGGAAGCCCACCATGCCCCTCCACCACGCAGACCACACCCCTCACCCTGTTAATGAGTCTTGTAGGGTCTCCGCTGCTCTCAGCACATTCCCTATCCACGCCACCTCCCCCCTCCAAACACATTTCCACACACCTGGTGCTGGCTTGCTTCATCAGGGCAGTGATCTTAGGGCTTTGACTATAGGTCACCTGATGAGCCCGCTCAAATGTCCGCAGGATTTCCAGAAGGCACCTGGGAGAAAGGCCACTGGCTCCCAGGGTGGGCCCAGTGCCCCCTCAGAAAGCATGGGTACCCGCCCCTGCCAGCCGAAGGCACAATTCCCTTCAAACTAAGTTCTGCTGGTCCCTAGTGGAGGTGCAGTGAGTATTATCAGAATGCATTACAGAGAATAGAAAGGGCTTCAGTGAGCAGAACACAAAGAGCAGACAGAGGGATAAGGACATTAAGAGAGTGGTGGGAGGAGGATGGGATCAGAGTAGATGAGGAGGTTAGGTGGGGATTCTGGGAGCCAGGCCAGAGACCCCAGTAAGGGAAGCAGGCCCCCAGCAGAAGGAGCTCTTCCTGCATGACCTGGACCATCCCCAAGTCAAAGACTCTCCGAAATTAGGGTAGCTTTGGATGTCCCAAGTGGGCACAGAGATTAGCGGGACCTGAGGAATCCAGGGTCCACTGGAAACAATCGAGACTCTGTGTGGTAAGAACCCCAGGCCAGCTCTTTTCCCATGGGAGGCATGGTGGGGCCTTCGTCTTGCTGCCATTAACCTGTCTCTGCGTCTGGACTTGCCATCCCCAACCTGTACCAATCCCTTCCCTGCCTGACTCTGACCTCTCTCTCGTCCAGATCCTCCCTACCTCTGAGATGCTGCGATGCCCCGGTACAGGAGAGAATGTGCTGAGAGCAGCGGAGACCCTACAACCCTCCAGTAGCAGGGTTTCCAGCAGGATCTTGGTTGCACTTCCACCTTTCATCCAGGATGAGCCACTGAGGCCCTTGGGCTGAGGACGTGATGACACCCGAGAGGAATTGGGAGAGGAAGGAGGATCCTGGAGTTCACTAATTAGTGGCCGCTGGGCATGCACTCTGGTTGGTGGCCGCTGGCACAGAGTCTAGTTAGTGGCCCCTGGCATGGAGTCTGGTTAGAGGCCACTGGGGCTGCATTCGGCAGGACTGGGGGTGCCTAGTGCGCTATGAGGAGTGCTGGGTTGAGGGCTTCACTGAGAGAAGAAGAGAGAGGGTAAGGGCCAGCTCTGGTCATTTCTACAGTACATTCAGGACTCTGAGGAGGAAGCCACAGTGATTGGGTGTCCCGTTAGCAGGAGTTAAGTGTTTTTTGGAGAGGGTGTTTGTTTTTTTTTTCAAGAAGTTTCTCCCCACCCAAGCCCCATTTTTTTAATAGCAGTTTGTCAATCTGAACACCACATTTCATGTCCTTTGGACAGACCAACGAAGCAGCCATTGTAATGGATAGGGATGTAACACGACACACCATGCATAAAGAGATGGCTGCAAAAAGAATGATCAGGGGGCGCCTGGGCTCAGTCGTTAAGCGGCTGCCTTCGGCTCAGGTCATGACCCCAGGGTCCTGGGATCGAGCCCCGCATCGGGCTCCCTGCTCGGTGGAGAGCCTGCTTCTCCCTCTCCCTCTGTCTGCTGCTCTGCCTACTTGTGCTCTCTCTGTGTTAAACAAATAAATGAAAATCTTTAAAAAAAAAAAAAAAGAATGATCAAAGCGGTGTCTGAGAAAAGGAGATTAAAAGTAAACAACTGCAGACAGGAAGAGAGATGAGCGCCTGAGAGTGGAAAGATAGGGACCTCACACGGGGTAGCTGCCTTCCTACCACACAGAGGGAAGAGCAAGGAGAATGTCTCAGATGCGCCGATCACTGGCAGAGAGGGCCCGCAGCAGGGATTCGGCTCAGGCCCTTGTCAAGTCTAAGTGAGGGTAGACTACACTCATGCCCTAGTGCCACGTATCTCCACCCCAGAGAAAAAGGCGTAGGAGCACCGGAGGCTTGAAAGGCCCACCCAGTTTTGGAGAGGATTAGAAAGGCAGAAAGATGAAACTGAATCCCATTGTTTTAAAGCCTGTATTTGAGGGCGCCTGGGTGGTTCAGTTGGTTAATGGTTAAGCGACTGCCTTTGGCTCAGGTCATGATCCTGGAGTCCCAGGATCGAGTCCCACATTGGGCTCCCTGCTCGGCAGGGAGTCTGCCTCTCTCTCTGACCCTCCTCCCTCTCATGCTCTCTGTCTCTCATTCTCTCTCTCGCAAATAAATAAAAAAAAAATAAATAAAGCCTGTATTTGAAACTAAAAAGTAAGAGAAACAGAAAGCAATTCACCATTCCATTCAATACTCTCTACTCACAGATGCAAAAGAGGTTCTTCAAACGGGAAACCCACCCCAGACGGGTTAGGTGTTTAATGATTACAGATTTAGGAGACAGGATCAAGATGGAAATACAACATCTTAAGGTGAATGAGGAAATGGGAAAACAGGATTTGCTTTACTACATTTTAGTTGATACACAATGCCAGGAATTTAGAGAAGATGTAACAAAATCAGAGGCATCTGGGAGGTGGCAAGCATTCCCTAGGTGGGAGTGGGGAAGATCCTACCCCAATTGCAGGATTGAGCACAAAAGCTTCTTGTTTCTCTTGCAGTTTCTGCATCCGCTCTGCTATTTGTCGGAATGTGGAGCTCCAGTCTTCAATGGGGTCATTTCTGGGACCCACAGAGAGAGAGGTGGGGAGATTGTGAGGATCTAAAGGAAGGAAGGGCCTCAGATGGGAGTCAGGATCAAAGACCACATTGGGATTGGGGTCTAATGTCAACAATCTCCTAGAGATATGCTTTGGAGCTCATGGGGGTACTGTGTCTCTGAACCCCAAGGATAAGGGCTAGTAATGCATTCAGCAATTTAATCCCAGAGCAAAGCCAACACTCAAGTTTAAAGCTCCAGCCTGAGACTAGAACTTTCTCGTATCCTGGTCCTTGCCCATGTCCCACTGCCACGGCCATACTACCCACAACTCTCTGTGGGTCCCTGGAGGAGTACCTATCATCAGAATGTCAAAACTGCCACTTTATTTTCAGTCTTAAGGTCCATCAGAAGCCCTTCCCATTCCTAGGAAGATATTCTGGCCATCTCCCCAAATAGCAAACCCCTCACTACTTGAGGGAGGGACAACAGTTCCTACTGAAGGAACACAACTGCAGGGTATGAAGCATAGCACCTAACAGTCAGCAAACATTTCTTGAATAAATTAATCATGAACAAAACAATGTGCTAAGGGGACAAGAGATCAACAGACTTGTTACCTGCTTAGCTGCAACCATGGAATCTCAAAGAATGGGGATTTTCTGTAGTTGACCTCTACTGGTCAACTCTGCTAGGGGGTACTTAGCAAATCACCCACTGTGGCAGGAGCTCAGAGAGTTACCTCTCTATAAGGCCTCTCTAACCTCCTCTTATCATCCCATCCCTGCAAAATGTCTACCCCTTCTTGAACTATTTTTAGATTTTTTCATCTGTATTTCCTCGAGGGCAAACAAGTTTCACATATTACATGCCCATCGTGTAAAGTGTTTTCTGTCATTTGTCCTCAAACTACTTCTGAAAGTCCCTAGAGACCTAAGCAGAGCGAGGAGACAGTGTTCATTGTACAGTGGAAACCTAGACTCCCAAACTTGGCTAGTCATCAAAATCACCTGGGGAGTTTGAGTTGTTGTTTTTTTTTTAAACTACCCATTTCTGGGTACCACGCGCACCCTGAGAATCAACTTCAGGAGTTCTGGAGTGGAGCCCCAAAATCTGTATTTTTAAAATGCTTCCCAGACGACTCTGAAGATTGGCCAAGTTTGGGAGCCACTGACTTAAGGAACAACTAGAAGATCTCCACGCCTACGTTGTTTGAAATCCTTTATTTCTCTTAGTCACAGTGCCTGAAATTAGCATCCACTGCAGCAGATACATTTTTGGCGAAGGAGAGTCCTCCATGAAAAGGAGCAGGGTTAAAAGTATCTCAGACTCATTTATATCTTCACATGAATTACACTACAAGCCTGGAATCTGGGAGCTGAGAAAAAGACCTCAGAAAGCACCCAGCTGCCCCATCCCCCAAGACCACCCCTGAATGCAAAGCCGCTCTTGAGAAATCAACAAGCCTTCACTGGAATACTCCAGCAACAGGAAGCCTTTAGCTTCATCAGGAGGCCCACTCCAATGGTTAAGTTAGCAGAGTTCCCCAAACCTGGCTGTGCACCAGCATCTCCAGGGATGTCTTCAAAAAATAGATATTTCAGGGCCTTACCCCAAAGCGACAACATCAGAGCTCTCGCACAAGGGGCTAAAAATCTACCTTCTTATTGCTTTAACACTCCCTGGGATGCCTGGGTGGCTCAGTCAGTTAAGCATCTGCCTTCGGCTCAGGTCGTGATTCTGGGGTCCTGGGATCGAGCCCCGCATTGGGCTCCCTGCTCCACAGGAAGCCTGCTTCTCCCTCTCCCACTCCCCCTGCTTGTGTTCCCTCTCTCGCTGTCTCTCTCTGTCAAATAAATAAATAAAATCTTTAAAAAGAAAAATCTAAAAAACAAAAACAAAAACCACTCCCAAGGCTGCACATCCACAGAACCACACCTGAGCACTATGGATTTCATACACTGACCTTCTCTGAGGTCAAAGTGGCCATCTACATAGAGAATAAGGCAGAGGTGATTGGGTGGCGCAGAGTTTTCAGGAAAGGGGAACAGAGGGGACCAAAGGGGTGCCTAGAATGACAAAGGAGAATGGGTGCTAAAATAAGGAAGCTGGGCAAAGGGGAGTCAGAGGCCACTCAGCACCCACTGCTCCTTTGAAAAGATGCTCATCTTTGTGGTATGCATTTTCCTGACCCTATTCTACCTTCTGGCCCTTGTTTTCCATGTCTCTTCCCTTCCTGTTTTGAATGTATGCTTTTGATATTTTATGTGGCCTTTGTAAGCTGCCTTCAATCCTTTCTGAAACAAGAGAATAAATCAACCAACCGACCAAAAAAACAAAACAAAAACAAAAACAACCCACCGAAAACAAAAACCTCATAAGCTTAGGGACAGTCAATATTTACTTTAATATTCTGAGATGTGGTCAATAAGACCATATCCACCGTGCCATCCCCTTTGTGGTCGTACTGTAGATTTTGACAGGTTCCCTCTTGGCCTCCCCCAGGGGTGTGGTCGGTCACTGTCTTTCATTACAGCAGGCTTACCTGGCCATGTTCACAGGGTTGAAACCAACCAGTACTGGCAAAAAGATGGCTGGGTTGTCCATGCAGTAATCCATCTGGCCTGCCACAAAGGGAGCCTGATGGTAGGGGAAGAAAAAGGGCATGATGAGAAGGGTTACTCTATTGTTGCCCGAGGCCCAGAGGCATCAGGATCCCCCAAAATGCTTGTTAGAAATGCATATTCCCAGGGGCGCCTGGGTGGCTCAGTCGTTGAGCGTCTGCCTTCGGCTCAGGTCATGATCCCAGAGTCCTGGGATCGAGCCCCGCATTGGGCTCCCTGCTCTGTGGGAGGCCTGCTTCTCCCTCTCCCACTCTCCCTGCTTGTGTTCCCTCTCTCGCTGTCTCTCTCTCTGTCAAATAAATAGATAAAATCTTAAAAAAAAAAAACAAAAAACAAAACCTGCTTTAAAAAAAAAAAAGAAATGCATATTCCCAGACCCAGGTAAGATCTACTGGATCCACATTTGAAGGGGAAAGCCCCAGGCCTGTATTTTTAACAAGTTTCCCCAAGGAAATCCTCTGCATGGTAAAGTTTAAAAACTACTGAACTAAATTTTATGCTCCTTAAGGTCAGTGTCCTGCCCTCCTTGTGTGCCTCCTTCCACATCTAGCATTGCTGGACTTGTTTCTGCTTAGTGAATTGTTAGAATCAGTATGCTACAATGGTGAGAGAAAATTGGGGTCACCAAGTCCAGTGCTTGGAATCTTGTTAAAAGGCAGATTCAGACTCAGGTTTTGGGGGGGAGCCTGCGATTCTGCATTTCTAGCAAATCCTAGGAGATACTGATGTTACTATTCAAGGACCATGCTTAAGTAGCAAAGGACTGGCCCAGAGATCAGCTTTTTCTGTAAAGAGCAAGAAAGTAAATATTTTAGGCTTTGGGGGCCCTATGAACTCTGTACAATACGAAACCCTACCATTGTAGCATGAAGCGGCCATGTTATGTAAACACAAAGGCTGTGTCTCAGTAAAACTTTATTTACAAAAACAGGCAGTGGCAGGATTGACTTGCCTATGTAGTTTGCTGACGCTGGGACTAGTCCATCTACCTTGGTTGTTGAATGGATTGATACACAGGTATTCTGAAATAGGATCCTTTCCCTTTCGTCCCACATTCATACAACTGGATCTCAATTAGTGAGAGTAAAATCAAAATTCCTTGTGCAAACCCTTTCTGTTTTCTAGCACCCACTTCATCAATCTATTTTCCATGCTATTCTGTTCTGACCCCCTTCCTCCCTATAAAATGGATCCACCCAGCCTGTCTTTACACTCACAGAGAGTCCCACCGAAATGCCAATGACGATCACCCTCTTCTTCCCAGCAGCCACCTAGGAGAAGAGGGTGGGTGAGACAGTGCCACCAGGAGGATTCTAGGATACAAACCTTTGCGTGGGGATGTCAGGGTCAGGACTAGGGGAGGGAATGGGCTTTGCTTGGATGGGGGCTTTTGTGTCCTCATGGGAAGGAACAGACAGAGGTGTCTGGCTATCAGTGGAAAACACAGACCTTCTTCAGTTCCTCAATCCCATGCAGGGCACTATCTTCTGTCCCCTCCCTAGATGCCACCACAGACCTAAGAAGACAGACTCAAGGTCAGTGGCACTGGTTTGGAAGCAGAAGCCTACGGTATACTAGGGCAGAGAAGAGAATGCTTTGAGAGAAGGGAATGAAGGGAAAGCTATCATTGACTGAACACCTACTATTTGCTAGACACCATGATAGATGCTCTACAGGGCTGAAAAACTCCAGTACCTTTAAGGCCAATCAGGTAACATGAGTATGTGAAGTGGGCCAAGTGCAAGGCAATAAGAAATGATGGGGACCAAAGTAAACTGGATACAATCTTCACCTGAAAGCTCTAAAATTACATTTCCAAAAAAACACTGTCCAGACCAAACAAAATATTCAAAACCAACTTGTCTTACCTGTCACCCCCTGCAATGAGGTAGGTGTAAAGGGGTTTCTGTCCTAGACCTTTCATCAGCTGGTTGAAGGAGACCTGTCAGGGGGGAAGGATATGAAGTAGTGATGATAGTGAAGGGAGCGATTATCTTGGATTTTGGACACCTAGAGTGTAGAGGCTTATAAGGATTCCCTCAGGCCAGCGCTTAAGCCAGTACTGCTTGGAATTTGGCACTTCAAATGCTACTTGCAGATGATGGACTGGGGGTGCATGGGATGTAGAGACACGGGCAGTAGACTGGTGGGGATCAGGTGGGTTCTGAAGATAGGAGGGCTCCATGGTGAGATCTAGCTTTGGGAAGAGAGGGAGCCAGGCCTCGAGGGGGCCACCTAGGAACATAGCTATGATGAGCTTTATGGTCCTGAGGGTCACTCCGAGAAGGCAGAGGGAGGAAAATCAGGGATCAGGGTACTCACCAACATGAGAAATGCCATCCTGCCAGAGGTAACCCCTCCGCTCAGCACCACCAGCGCCCCCTCAGGCTCCTGAGAAAGAAAAACTGCCTACGTCGCCAGGTCCTAGCTCAGGTTGGGGGAAGCATATTCTTTCTCTCTCAGCAGCAGAAGAACAATTGGAGAGACTTCCTAACCCTTCTCTTACGACAAAAGGGAACAGAACATAGGTGGTATGGTGTCGCAGAAAGAATGAAACTTCAGTCTGACTCCCAGCTCTGGCTTAGCTACTTATTCAAACCCTTACTTATTCCAGAAAGGACTGAGAGCAGCTTTGTCATCAACCAATCAATCAATAAAAAGCAGTGCTACCCAGCAATTATTAGCTGGATATATTTGGGCAAGCTACCGTGATTATCCTTTGTTTTCCTATCTGAAAAAAAAATGGAGACAATCACACCAATTTCACAGGTTTTTGCAAAGGTAATGAGTGTGAAAGCACATGTCAATTATAGAGTATGATGCAGATAATAGTTATTATAATTACTGTTGATTAATAAGATGACAATAAAGATCCCGGAGGGAGGACTGGGAGAAAGGAGAATGGAGATAGAGCAAAATCAGAAGTGGAGGCCAAGAAAAGAGAAAGGTGGAGGGAAGAGAAGTTCAGGAGGGGAGCAAATGGTGAGCCCGTACCTTCAGCACTTCCTGAACTTTGCCAGCCACTTGTACCATGGTGGTCAGAATCGATTCACTATACAGTCGCTGTAGGCAACAGGCAGGAATCAGAAGCCATTTGGATTTGGGGCGGGGGGGGGTGTTAATGGTGGGGTGGAGGGGCTCTCAGGTCTCAAACATTAAGGACCATGGTCTGAGAGAGCAGAGGTTGAGGTACGGTTGGAGTCGGCATCTTTATTCTCAGTGTCCAGGGGATGGTCTGGGTCACCTGGTACGTGGGCATGACTTGCCCCTCCTCCTGGAAGATCTCAGCATCACATTGTCCCAGCAGTCAAACAATTTGCTCGGCATCTGCTTTGTCCAGGTCCCGGGTCAGTGGGTTTGACTTCTCTGTGGTTGGCAGGGCTTCCTCATACCCAGACAACTAGAGGGAAGGGGGCACAAGGATACAGGCAGGAAGCCAAAGCCTCATTCACGCCTGCTGATCTGGAGGTGGGAGTGGCAGCGGGCACAAGGTTTGGACACACACACACACACACACACACCATCCAAGGATTTAGCCTGCACTTGGTACTCTGGGCCTAATAGGGGAAGAAGATCAGGAAGGAAGATGGGAAGGAGGGGAGGGAGAGTAGAAACCCAGGGTGAAGGGAAGTGCAGATGAGAAATGATTCTAGGAATCAGTGCAGAAGACCAACATGGAGAAGGGGGTCTTACTTCCCACTTGCCAGGCTCTGGGGTCTCAATCACATGTTGAAACCATTTTGTGCCCAGCATGGTCACAGGCTGTGGACACCCTGTCGTGCCTGCCTCCTCAGCCATACAAACCCTTTTGTCACGCTAACTCTACTTCCAGCTGGCAGGGCCTTATCTGAGCCACAGTGATGATTAACCCAAGTACCCTGGCCTCTCTGTGCACCACTCCCTCTGAGTACCTCTTCCTGCACCCTTTCCTGGTCAGTCGGTCCCCAGCCCTCTGGTCACCCAGTGAAGCTCCTGGGGTCCCTCTTTGCATGCATGCAGACTGCCCAGCCTCTGCTTTGCCCCTGAAGGGGAAAACCTGAGGTTCATTACTCTTAACTTTGGACACAATGACCTCTTCTCTGGAGGGCCTGGAGCCTGGAAGTGCAGGATAATACTCAGTCCCAAGACAGTGAGAATCCCTGAGTAAGTGCTCTGGGACCAGGATGCATCAGGAGGCCAGAGATCAGGGTCCTCAGGGACAGCAGAGGTCAGAGGACCTGGGCCATGGCTTGATCACATGCCCAGAACACACAGTCCTCCCGGCCCCTCTTGCTCCATTTCACTCTTTCATCTCAGAAGGAAGGCAACAGAAGCTTTGGAGCCCCAGGGGGGCACATGCTGAACTGAATATTACAGGAAAAAGTGCCACAGAAATAGAAATGCTGCAATGAGAATTAGAAACCAAAGTATCTGCCCTAAATACAACATTAGCCAACATTTATTTACACTGAACAATGCACTTTTCACATACGGTATCTCATTGGGTACATTAACACTCAGGAGACCATACTGACACCCTCATTTTTCAGATGGTGAAACTGAGGCTCAGAGAAGTTAGGTCACTGCTGAAGATCACACAGTTGACAGAATGGGGACTCAGACCCAGGTTGTTACTCCAGATCTCATGAAATAACTTAAGGATTTATGTTTGTTAAATGAGTGAAGTAACTAACAGATTGATGCAAATTAATGATAATCCCTCAGTCACATAGCGTCATAAGATTTATAAAGACATTCCCCAACATTGTCTCATTGGATCCTGCCAAAAGCCCTATGAGGTTCTGGACGCTCTGATTTTAGGAAACCTGACACTTAGATGACCAATTTCTCCACGCCAGGCAGTAAGTGGCAGAGCTAAGACAAGAACCATAGGTCGCTGCTCTTTAGATTTCCCCCATAAACCCAGCCGTCTTGATCGCTGTATCTCCAGCACTTCACATGCCCAGACACATAGGTGACGCTCAATAAATATTTAATAAATTAAAGAATGAATGAGAGCGAAGAGAATCAATATCAGATTATGAATGGGGAACAGATTTAAAAGCTGACGCAGTCTACAAGTAGGAGATTGTTAAAACAATTATCTCCGCCGCTCTGTCCCCTCCCGCGGGGGGGGGGGTTGGAATTCCTCCTCCCAACTTGGCGAATTCCACCCGGGGAGGGGGGCCCTCCCAGGTGCCCGAGACCCTCGCACCTGCGCCTCTCCCCACGCCCCCGCAGGCTCCTTGGACAGAGCCGGGATCAGAGGCAAGGGGACCCGGGAGGCCGCCAATGGGAGGGTCGTGGGAGGAGCCCCGGGAGAACCGGGTCGGGTCGGGGGGG